CTATAACTAATAACTCTTTAGCATGTTAGCACACAATAAAATATGGTCATTCACCACAATTTGCATGAATAACCCTAATGTATGTGTATATTTTTAAATAAAATCCGAGAGTAAGGGAAAAAAAGTTAGTTTCAGATTAGTGCCACATGAGTTCTTTTTCTGACTGCCATCTAATTTTGAGTGAGCTACAGTTTCCAACAAACATTTAATTCAGAAATGCAGATATATATAGTAATAAATGATTTAATATATGCGCTATGTAATGTCCAATTGTGATTAATCAATATGCTGTGGATAAAGCAACCCCATGTAGTAGGACAGCATTACTTTCAATAAAGTATTCCCTTCACACACTCTCACTCTCTCTCTCTCTCTCTCTCTCTCTCTCTCTCTCTCAATCTCGCTCTCGCTCTCTCTCTCTCTCTAGTTGAGATACAAAGGCAAGCATTGTCAAGCTTTGCATAAAGCTGGATATTATACATTAATGGATCTAGTTTAAATATTTATTTTGGTACGGTATACATATTTAAAATCGTCCTCATCCACTTTACTTAATAAATATAGATGGGACACAATGGGAATAAAATGAAATGAACTGTTCAATAGAAGGTTGAAACAATGACTATCAGTTACAATGAAATGTAATATGTGTTTGTATAATTACAAATAAATGCTACCATCAATGCGAGTTAAAAGCAACGTATATTTAAATATTCAATACTTCCTTCTCATTTATTTTTTTTTTTAATTTACATTTTTATTCATATCCCCTATCTTCCAATTAGCAAACATTATTTCTAATTCATATCATTTTTCATATATGGAATTGACAAATCCAATTTCGGGGGATGATAACTCGCAGTGTTGGAGCGGAAATTTAATACATTATTATTACAAATATTTTCACAGCTTGATGAAAAATAATTTAATGAGCTGTATGTTTTCCTCATGTATGTTTGTCTAACACGCTGTGGCTTTGTCACCAGTTTGCATAATAAAGATGAATAATGAGTGTACTAAGCAATGAATCAAATTAAAATAACCATTAGTTTTATCTTTTATTATTATTTTTAGAAAATGCTCTAAAAGACATATTTAAATTATAAGAATTCTTTTAAAAAAAATATTTACTATAGTAAAAATTTTCAATGATTTTTAGATTATATAACAAAATATTGACAACATAATGATCGAATAGTACATATTATTAGTTATATTAATCTCTCTATTATACAGGGTGTTTCAGAGTTAAGTGGCCAAACTGCAAAAATGAACTAAGAACCTCAAAACAAGAAAAACATTTCCTCTGAAGGTATGTCCGCAAACGCTTAGTTTAGGAGATATTCACATCTAAAGATTGTCGTTGTTATGAATTATTTACATTATATGAAATTAATAAAACCTTTTTATTGGTTCCAACTACTTTATTAATTAAACGTAAACATTAAATTCATATTAAATGTAGTTCAAAGTAATTTCCTTGAGCATTAAGACACGCTCGGCATCTTTCTTCAACAGCAGCAGTGGCAGAACGGCACTGGATATGTGTTATTGTTTCAACCGTAGTTAAACTTGTTTGCTAATCTTTTATTCGAAATCGCCTGGCATATTCACGACGGACAGCATTAGCATTACCATTGCAAAAACCGTATACAAATTCCATATCAGCATATTCACCATTTGTATAAATGGAAGGCATAATGATGAGTATCCTGCGAAACTCTCTTACAAACTGATAAATGTTATTGAGAGTTCCCAATGCTAATTCCAATTCCTGTTCCAAAAACAGCCTGATACCAGCTAACTATTGATATTATATATGTATTGTGTAGCAATCATATAATCATAACACTTGGTAAGAGATAGTACATGCATTTCCTACTATCGACGTAGGAATTTCAATACATACATTTTTTTTTATTTTTTTTTTTTTATTCAATTATAAGTAACTGTTTATTTTTATATATATATTCAAGTAAAGTTTTTTTTTTATGAAATGAACTCATTGTATATCTTTTTCGTTCTTCATTTCTCAAAGTGTATGTTTATGTTGTTCAACCCTTAAATATAATTTTGTTCATAGTTCAAGTGATTCGTTCATAGTTTTAATTGTTTTGTTCATAATTTTAAATGCTCTGTACATAGTTTTATCTGTTTGTATATAGCTTGTGCACCTAAGGTTTTCTTTACTTTTTATTTTATTTTATCAATTTTATTTATTGTTTCAACGTTCAGGCCAGTAATATTCTATTATTTTGTACATTATTGTTATTCTGAAGGGACTTAGTCCCAGAATAAAGTTTTTTTTTCTATCTATCTATCTAATTCCAAATAGTATTAATCCTTTTGTTGTAAGTATTAATTTATTTGTTTTAACTACTTTGTTAATTAAATGTAAACATTAACATTCATATTAAATGTTGTTCAAAATGAAGATATGTCCGCAAACGTATCAATGGATTGGCCGTGCAGGACCAGTGGCTTGGCCTGCACGCTCTCCAGACCTGACAACATTGGACTTTTTTGTGTGACATTAATAATAATACTATCTGAACTACAGAATACATGTAAATTTTCAGTTATATAATTTGAGCAACGAGTATTACAGTTAAATGAAACGTTGTATAATTTATAAATTGGTGGTTGTGCCGCCGTTAGGTGCACTGGGGGGTACTTCCCTAGTAATTCTTAAATTTTATAACAAAATGTTGATTAAATAAACAGGAGGAGGATTAAATAAAACTACCTAAATATTAATAAATTTAGAAATATGATTTTATATTCCCCATTATTTTTAAAATTGGATATAATAAAACATTTTTTTTTTTACTATTAGCTGAAATATTTGTAAATTATTTTGTGACATTAACCATCAACAGATTTCTTAACTTTAATACGATGAAAATAATTCAAATGGATTTATATGCAATTAAAGGTGAGATACGAGATATTTCTTGGTATAGTTAATCTTTTGTGGCTTAAATATTGTTTATACTTTCATTGACCTACATATAAAATATGTAGTTAGGGAAGATATAGCCATCGTAAAATTTCCACGTCTAGTTTTGGACAGAAATACATATTTTGAAGTCACTTGTGTCCAAATACTCACATCTCACAGGATGGTAATAGGTAGGTACATGTACAAGAGTCTGAATAAGTGTTCTTTAAATTTTACAAAAATAAATTAATATTATTGAGGGTATAGAAAATATGTGATACAATAGTTATGCTTTTTTTATGACTTAAATTTATCAATGTATATTCTTTGTTTATTTCAGCTGGCGTCCTGTAGATCTTTTGTCGCTTTAACCAGTCATCTCGATCTTGGGCTATTTATTTTTATTTATCTGCTATTGAAGCTATTCATTGCCACGTAAGATAGATTCCCGGCTTCCTGATGGATTGCTCTGCAATACCCATCTTAACCTCCGTGCCTTCATATCATGAGGCATATGTGTATATTAAGGAATAAATCATGCGGTTTGCAAAGTTTAGAATAAATGACCAATACAGGTACCTTACAACCAATATAACGTCTGGCTAGATTAAACGACTGTTCCTTTAATTAAAAATACTTTAATTTAATCTTGTTGTTTATAATTAAAATCATTGTTATTTTTAAATTATGTACGGTCAATCGCAACAAATAAAACATAACCCATTTTTTCAGTATCAACTGACAATATCTCGAGGTAGGGTGAACGCAGCCCATACATAAATCACAAAGCTGGTTATCAGCTTCTGTGGAATAGTGATAGTTTTCCAAGTGACGTATCATGGCGGTCGTTTGTTACGTTATTGAATATATCTACTTGTCTGTCATGGCCGCATATGTCAAAGCTTTTGTCAAGAGGTTTTCTGTCTTAAACATTCCCAAAAAATATTTAGTATTACTTTTTTTTATAAATAAAGTGGATCGAGTATGTAGTTTTAATATGTCATTTAAACCACTTATACACAGTAATAATATGAGTATATTTTTTTATAGGTTCCAACATTAGATAATTGACATTAGGTTATAATTGGAAAAAAATTGACCGTGCTACCGTATTGTGCTCTAAAATTCACTTAAAAATCGAACTAACCCCTCAACGTTTCGCCAATTTAAGCGTTATGTAGACAGAAACAACGAGATCACATGACTTTTTAACATATACTGTAGCACAAATAAACAAAGGAATGCGGTTTTTAATCCGATATCCTGGAGTTGTTTGTTTTTTTGTGTCGTGATGATTCCTGAATTGGCGTAACGTTGACGGGTTATTTTGTTCTTTACCTGTATTTTGTAGACACAGAGCTGTTTGGTTGGACTTTTTCAGTAATAACCCTACTAAATTTGATTTAATTTCTTTCTCTGGTTGTGCTCCTTACTCGTTCATGTTAACTAACGAATTGTTTTATTAGATTTCCCTTCGGTGTATGCCAAGTTAAAGTGTCTTGGTCCATTTTTTTCCATCGGAAGTGCTTGACAAGTGTACTAAATATTATATTCATAGTATTACTATATATTATATGTTTTTAAAAGGTTTCTTCTCTAGAAAATGGTCTTAAAGGCTGAAACGTTACAAAATAAAGATCAAATTTGTTGTATTAATACAAATATTAATTTAATAGTTTATGATTTATTCATTTCATAATGTTTATAAGTTGCCAAGCTAATATATCCATGATTCTACATTGACAATATTCTAGAGAGACCAGGGATCCCAAAATTTAATTTACTTTCATTTTCATTCATTCGTTCAGATTATAAGATTAAAAATCGATCCCTTTACAATTGATAGTTGGTGTTTTCTCATACAAAATACTAAGAGTATACAATACTACGACGAAAACATTTCTGATATACGAGACCTGGTCATTTACCGGCGCCCAACAAAAGAACATTGAAACATTTGAGAAAAAAATCCTTAGCAGGATAACCGTAGCGATTTTGGATCATAATACAGGTGAAGAGGAAAAAACATTAAAGAATTAGTCAATTCATATCTTATGGCATGGAGGCAAGGAAGTTCAGATGGGCAGTGAATGTAGCTCTGAGCACTCCTGCTGGAAGCCCTCAACACCACAATGAATTCCTCGATAGTAGGCAAAAGACCACGAGTAAGGCCAAAAAACAGATGAATAAATCTATTCAACAAAGGTACTAAAAGCGGAAAATAATAACGGAAAATAATAGCCCAAGGCAGGCAGAGATGGTGAAGTCTTATTAAGGCGGCAAAAGATCTCCAAGGTCTATAAAGTCAACAGAATGCTTAAATATTGTCAAAAAAAAAAAAAAAAAAATACAATCTAAACCATAAATAATGAATAATTAGTTATTTTAATTTAAAAAATCAGAAGATATTGGTTTAAAAAACTAGCAATCAAATAAGCTTAAAAATATTAAAATAGAAACTCTGGAAGGGTTCAAATCGAAATACCAAAAGAGAAGAAGTTGCTGATACACGTAAGTAATTGGCCGCATGGCAACATCATAGAAAAGACAAGACCATCAAAATGTGAGACATGCAACGTGCAGCTGGTGATTGGACACATTATGCTTGTCAGAAGTATAACAGTTATTATCAAAATTTAAACTTTGAACGAAAAATTCAAGCAATACTAGAAGATTATAGTAACGATATTAAAGTAATAATTGCACTCCTTAAGGAAAATAATTTGTTCAATAAAATATAATAAAACAAATAAAAAGTAATTTTAAAAATTCACCGTAAGAAAAGGCTTAAAACCTAAGCAGTTGAGTGTTTATAAACAACTAACCTAACCTTACTTTAAAAAGAAGTTTAAAAAACATATTTTTAATTATTTAATTTTCAATTGAATATAGGAACTACGACAATAGAACCTTAGGTAGCCGAATTATCATTCTTTTTTCTTATATTAACCTTTTCTATGTCCTTCATAGCTTGCAATAAATGTAAAAAATATAAAATAAAAACTCTAGATCTCTTACTTATGGCATCGCTTGAACATTTGTCTTTCGCATCTCTCCAATTCATAAAGTTAAAATAGAAATAAAAATACAATTGTCCCTTTACAAACAACTTACTTACCAAAACGAATAAAGAACCCATTAACAAAGGGGTTCTTTGATTTTCTCATTTTTTTGTTTATTCAATTTATTAGCTAAGAACTTGTTCTTTCATCTCTTTACGCCTAGAGGAATTCTTTAAAACTTTTTTGAGATTTCGTTTCCTTTATAAAACACTTTTCAACTTGAGTTTTAACATTACATAATGGAAACAAGAACCTCGGGTTTTGTAGTTCAAATGATTCTTTTGTTCAATGAGCTGTACATTTGTTCCTTTGACTGGCAGAAAAGAGAAGCTGATTCAGTTGCCTTAGGGCAGAAGCATTTGGAATTGGAATTCTGTCCACTCACAATTGTGAGGGTAACAGGAGAACTCGAGTAGTAATAAAATGAAGGTTATGTAAATATCAATAAAGGGTATGTGGAATTAATTATTTGTGATCAGTTATTATTATTTAGTTTTAGTATATTTAACATTAAATATATATATATATATATATATATATATATATATATATATATATATATAAACACAAAAAGTAAAAATGAAAATTTTATATAATTTTATATTAAATTTTATATAACATAAAAAGTAAAAATGAAGAGAAATAAGTAAAGAAAATATTAGTTAAACATGCTATATACAAAATTTAAAAAATCTATACACAAAACACTATTGAAACCATGCTAAGACACTTAAAACTGTGTACAGCGGTAAAACATATATATACACTTTTTTTTTTTTTAATCTATTTATTGAATAATAATACAATCAGCCACTGCTGGAGGGCTATAAGCATTAGGGCTAAAAGTTCTCATTCATACAATATATACAAATAATAAAGAAATAAATATAAATATAAGAAGTAAATAAATAATACTGATGAAGAAGGTAAATAAATAAAAAAATAAATAAATAAAAAAAATAAAATAAAATAAAATAAAAACTTCTAAACACAATCATAACTATATACAATATATACATTTGCCCAAGAATCTCCGAGCCAGGCTTTTACCTCCACACGCGGAAGGCAAAGCAAGACTCCGGAAGATCCCAGTGCCACTTTTCCAGTCGCATCACTAGTATTAGAAGCCAGTGGAGACTGAAAGAGGGCAATACAGCCACAGACGCTCAGGACATGAGTGGAGAAGCTGGCCATTGCCAGGACTCCAAAGGCATATTTACAAAAGATCTCGAGGCCACTGCCGTTTCAACCTTCGAGGGGGATGGTACGGATGCTCGGAGCTGGATAGGGATTGCGCTAGAGGATTGGGATGATGAATGAGGTTCTGGTGAAAGTTGGAGAATCTGGTTGGGATGATGTCATGGACATATGGAATGTTAAGGTCATGGTGTAGGGTCTTGTTCGTGACATAATATGGAGCATTGACTATTGTTCGAAGGACTTTGGACTGGAAGGATTGGATGCGTTTGATATTCGATGATTTAGTTGTCCCCCACAGTTCAAGTCCGTAGGTCCAGATAGGTTTCAGTATGGTCTTGTAGATTAATAATTTGTTTTCTGTTGAGAGATGAGATCTTCTGTTTAGTAGTCTATATAGCTGACCAAATCGTCGGTTAAGCTCTTGTCTTTTAAGTCTCGTATGTGGGTTCCAAGTCAGTCTTTTGTCCAGAAGGAAGCCAAGGTATCGGACTGTGTCTGAGTAGGGAAGAGGAATTGAATTAAAAAGGATTGGCGGACAGGATCTGCGTCGAAGAGTGAAAGTTACATACTTGCATTTTGATTCATTAATTTTGATGCGCCAGTTGTTGCACCACTGCTCAATGAAGGAAAGGTGTCTTTGCAGGTTCTGGGACGCTATTAGAGGATCCGAGTGGGAGGATAGGATGGCAGTATCATCAGCAAATGTTGCTAGGAAGGTATCAGGACTTGAAGGGATGTCAGCGGTGAAAAGGATATAGAGAACTGGGCCCAAGACACTGCCTTGTGGAACACCAGCCTCAATTGGATAATGTTTGGAGAGTTCAGTGCCGCAGCGGACTTGAAAGGAGCGATTTGAAAGGTAAGATTTGAGGACTAGGTACAAGGGTTGAGGTAAATGGGTTTTGAGCTTGAAAAGCAAGCCATCGTGCCACACCCGGTCGAAAGCTTGAGCTACGTCCAGAAAGGCACCAGTGCAATATTGCTTGTTTTCAAGTGCAGAGGATATGTGGTCCACAACGCGAAGGCCTTGTTGGACAGTGGAGTGTCTTGAGCGGAATCCAAACTGATGGGAAGGGATATTGTGGGATTCGAGTATGGGTAGGATGCGTTTGAGAAGGATTTTCTCAAAGATTTTGGAAAGGATCGGAAGTAAGCTTATCGGTCTATAGGATGATGTATAATTAACAGGTTTACTTGGTTTAGGAAAGAGGATAATTATGGAGTGTTTCCACACCAGGGGAAAGTGGGTTGTGCGGAGGATACAGTTGAATAGATATGTAAGGAATATAATTGCTTTTTTGGGAAGTTGTCTGAGGATCTGGGAAGTAAGGAGATCGTGTCCTGGAGATTTGCGAGGTTTTAGGTTCTTTAAAAGGAATTTGACCTCAGAGGGGTTGACGGCTGTAGGAGGTAAGGAGAGAGGAATCGATGAAGAGAGGAATTCTTTAACTTCAGCAGTATGGGAGGGATGGAGTTCAGGATGAGGAGTGAATGTGTACGATAGATGTTTAGCAAACTCTTCTGCTCTATTCTCATCTGACGAAGCCCAGGAACCATCATCACGGCGGAGGGGGTGGGAAATGGATTGGAATTTAAGGATTTTTTTTGTTACATTCCAGAGGGAGTTATCACTTGCAGATAGTGAGGAAAGATAGGAATTATAGGATTGGGATCTAAACGTAGCCAGTTTTTGTTTTACCTGCTTGGAATAATAGTTATATGATTTCCGATCATCAGGATGCCTGGTTCTTTGCCAGATGGTCCTAGAGCATCGTTTCCTATTAATAAGGTCCAGTAGGTCTTGGGGTAGAGGATTTATTTTGCGGTATTTTTTAGAAGGATCAGGTGAAGATGCAGTCCAAACTGCTTGTTGGATCAAGGTAGTCATGGAATATACTGCTTCATCTAGGTCTGCAGGTGTTTTTAAGGAAACTCTGAGGTCAATATTATCATCCAGTATTTGACGGAAGAGGTTCCAATTAACTGGCCCCCTGATAAATGAAGGTGGAGGTGGTTTGGGAATTGGTGATGTGGAGACCGTTAGGATTAGGGGACTATGGTCTGAGGAAAGATCATCAAGTCTTGAAATGCTATAATTAAGGGACCCTAGACCTTTGTGGATGAAAAAATCTAGGAGATCGGGATTGCGGTTAGGATCTGTTGGCCAGTATGTGGGAGAATTGGGTGAGAGGATGTTGCTGTGATGGGAATTAAGTGCAGATAGCAATGTTCGTCCTCTGGAATTTGTGGTTCTGGCTCCCCATTGCTGGTGTTTAGCATTTAAGTCTGCACCTAGAAGGAAGTGGTGTCCTAAGGAGTTAAGGAAGGAAGTTAATTGGGATTCTGAGATAGGTATTTTAGGCGGGGAGTATGCTGCAACTACTGCTATTGGGTAAGGAGAAGTTTGGATTATCACGGCAGTGGATTGTAGGAAATTATGGGTCGGCAAAGGGAATAGGTGATGGGAAAGGGATTGATGGATAATTATGGCAGTGCCAGCATGTGCTGTTCCATCAGGATGGTCGGTTCGATAGATATGATAGTTGGGGATGTTAAGTGGTCGTTTGTTGGTAAGTCGAGTTTCAGTTATTAATGCTACATCAATGTTTTTGTCCTGTAATAAGATTGTTAGCTCGTTGATGTGATTTCGAATACCATTCGCATTCCAAAGGAGGACGGAGAGGGATTTGATTGGGGACATTTAAGGATTTCTCGGCAGTGGGATGAGGTTGGATACAACATTGGTAAGTAAGGAAATGAGAGGAGTGATGAGTGATCTGAATTCAGAGAGAAAAGAAGTCAATAGGCTTGTGAGGTCAGTGGCATTGGGAGGAGGAGGAATGAATGCCTGGTTATTAGGCCTAGGTTCAGAGATGGGATAAGGGTCTTGAGGTTGAGATGTGAATACTCGAGGTTGAGGTTCTTGTGGCAGGGCCTGAGTTTGTGTGGGTGCAGTATCTCCTTTGAATATCTGAGCATAGGACACTCTTGTATTTACAGTTCTAGAGGGTTGTCTTGGTGGCCTGGATGGCCGTTCTTCTCTTGGAGCTGAATAAATTCTTGCTTTTAGTTCCTTATATGTTTGGCAACCCTTGTAGTTCGCTGGGTGCCCTTGATGGCATAAAGCGCATACAGCTGGTGTTCTTCTGGACTTCTGGCAGTCCTCTGTTTTATGTTTATCACCGCACCGGACACATCTAGGAATGTGGTGACAATAGCGTTTCGTATGACCATAAGCCTGGCAGTTATGGCATTGTACAATGTCGCGTTTAGTGTAGGGCTTTTATACAACAACGCTAGTGTAGTAAAGGCGTGTGACCTTGTAGATGTCTTCGACCTGGGGCGTTCGGTCAAGGTCAACGAAGAATAGTGGGAGCGGTATTTTATTTTTTGAGCCAGGCTGTTCTCTATCTTCCTTGAATATATTCACTATTTGGCGAACACGGAACCCCATCTCAGTTAGTTCTTCTTTAATGGCATCCAGTGGTGTTGATGGGTGTAATCTCCTGAGCACCACCCTGAGCGCTCTCTCTTGGCGCAGCTGATATGATACACTTTTAGAAAAGAAAAAAATAATAAATAAAAATACATTACATTCTTCTCATAAGAAAAAAGAAAGTCGAATCTGATAGTAAGAATTATCTGAGTATTTAAGTGATGAATTATGTGCAAATACATCATTATGTAAATCATTATGAACAATAAGTAATTTTATATAACTGGTTTGCGTAGGGTATCTGACTGTTTTTGAGACAGAGATTGGAATAGGAGGGTTTTAAATGTAGATAGGGAGGGAATTCCAAAAATTAAAGGAGCGAGCAATAAAAGAGTTTTGGAATGAGGCAAATCTGTAAGAAGGAATGTAAAGGTCGGAGGGTCGAGATCTTGTGGAAAGGGAATGGACTGAGGTCTTGAATTGGAGAAGGTTGTAGGCGTAAGAAGGACGATGGTTGTTGATGATTTGATAGAGGAACGTATTTAGGAAATATTGTCTTCGAATGGAGGAGAAGAGCCGTTTAACTCAGTGTAGTGGTGGAAGACATGTATTTCGAGATTCTCTCCCATAGTACTTTTGTTTAAAAAAAAAATGAGTGATCTAAATCGAAAATTTCCTCTCGCGTTTAATATTTTAGCTTTCAAAGAAAAAAATAGTTTCCTGTCTGCCTGTCGTGAAATCCATGTTATAAGCATATCAATTAAGATTAATCAAATTTGC